AGAGCCTTTTAAAGGACGCCGGATCATCAGATACCAATGGTACCTTAAAAGTGGTCTGTTTTTCTTTAAAACATTAGCTCTGGATTTACATTGAGCTCTCAGGATTTCATCCTCATACGGATTACCAAGTTTTTCATAATATATATATATATATATATATATATATATATATATATATATAGAGAGAGAGAGAGAAAGTTATAAAATTACTGATATGAAATATATGAACACATTATGTAAGTTAATAAATATCATTGATAGTTCAAGGATATTTATTTTCTTTACAAATATTCATTTTTAATTTTATAAAGTGACAAATTTTCAAAGTAACTTCAAATTGATCACAGCTTTTCTAGGTTTGCAATGTTTGCAAGTTTGCAATGTTTCCTGAATTTTTCTGTTGTTATGATGATGTTCTTATTGAACAAAACGTTAACAACAAAATAAAAAAAATGAAAAAAAAAAGCATCCAACCTGGTGCCATATATATGATATGTGGTTCTACATAGGATGAACACTCGTAGATGAGTTGATGACGTCGAAGGTTTTAACGTTAATATATATATATATATATATATATATATATATATATATATATATATATATATATATATATATCGTTTGCTTAGTATTATTTTGGCTGCTTTTTTCTTTCTTTTGTTATTGTTTATTGAAAACTGTCAGTTGTTTGTTGGCCATTTTGCTAGTTACACTTCACAAGGCCAATTACTCTACACACACACACACACACACACACACACACACACACACACATATATATATATATATATATATATATATATATATATATATATATATATGACAAAGTGAAAATAGTTCAGAAATTTATGTTGGTGCGACTGCACATGCGCACTAACAGGGATGCTTGTAATTTTAATTTTGTTTTTGTTTTGTATATAATCTAGCCAAAACGCGTAACACGAATTGTTCTTGATATATAAAAAATTATATTTCGTTATCTTATATATATATATATATATATATATATATATATATATATATATATATATATATGGGCACTGAAGTCAACAACGAGCGGCGACAATATTCATGTGATATGTCTTGAGTGTTGGCTCGACTATTTATATATACTAGGGAATGGTGCATTATGGGTAGCAAGGTTTATTGTATTTTCCTAACAAGGTGCTAGCGGTTATATTTCAAATTATTCAATTGGTTATTGATTAGAATTTATTGTGGATTCGAATTCAGTTATTTTTTCGCCATTTTATCGTCTTGTTTCTTAACTTTTTATTTATTATTGATTACTTAATTATTTGTTATTTATTATTATTATTATTATTATTATTAGATTTATTTGTGTTTATGTGTGTGTTTGTAACTTGTTAATTTTTTCTTATTATTTTGTATTTAATTTATTTATTTAGATATTTTTGTATATTTTTTTTGATGGCTTAATTATTTGTCTAGATTAAAGTATTAGATTTGTCTAACGTTTGTACATTACCTGCCTTGCATTTTTCGTGATGGTATTTTACAATGCATTCGTTTTCAATTTTTAAATAATGTAGTAAAGTATTGTTTTCGTTTTTGCATTTTTTGATGCTTTTAATACGTATAAACAGAAAATATATTAAAATGCACAGAGAAAGAGAGAGAAAGAGCGAAAGAAAGAAAGAATGATGTTTCTTTTCTGTCATTGGCTGACATTAGAGGCGTGATGCTTTAACTAACTTCATTCAAAAAATCATCTTTGATTGGATTTTGACAACGATGAGTCCATTTGTTTGAAATTGACAAATCTCGAGTAATTTTGATTTTTGATTCTGACACTGAAGAGCAACAAAATCAACTACATTTTCGGCTAATAATGCTTTCTTCAATTTAAGAAAGGTAAAAAGTGCGATTTAAACGCGATAAAAATATGTTTATTTTATACTGAAGATACTCTGAAGACGATTTATCGCTAAACGATGCTCGGGTCGACCTGCCGTTGTTTAAGGTGATCATTTCAAGAATTGAGCTGAAAATCAACGTCAGATCACACGCAAAACAACCATGTTGTTCAAAATATTCAACTTCAATACTGACAATCATTTGCTCTAGATTGATTATGTTAGTCGATTTGATGTGTGGCTTACACATGAGCGAAGTAAACCTGCCTGGGTCATAATAAAATTAACCGTTTTTTGTGAAAAAATGCTATGAAAAGTAAATCATTTGCATCAACAAGGGACGCAAGAGAACGCGAGACAAGCAAAAATGAACCCTGACCAACCGTACAAAAGTTATACTGATTATATGGTAGGAATGGATGAAAGTCGTCACCTATGAGCTCTTTCCGGATAACCAAACGAGTGATACATACAAATACTGCTCCTAATAAGACTAAATGAAATCAACAAATATCGAAAAGTGTCCGGATTTTGTTAAGAAAAAGAGTTTCATTCGTACACTGCAGGCTTAAGTGGGTTGCAACTCAGGAACTTATCGCCCAGAGGGTGCCGTAGTAACATTACAACAAGAACAAATACATAAACAACTGAATATACAAACAGAAAATCGCATGTGAATGGATGACAAACTTATTTTGGTATTCGATATTCCATTCGTAAGGTTATATTATTACAGTTAATTTATGTATATTTGGAATTAATTATTTTCACTGTTAAGTATTTATTTTGTTAATTTCGTGTTTCAAGTTTATTCAATTTGGGGTTTATTAATTTTAATTGGTTGGTATATGATTGGTATATGAATAAAATTAATGATTAGTATATATGGATAAAATCATTGTTAATATTTCTAATTTAATACACATATTGATATATTTCAAGTGAAATGATCTCAACACGATACGACAAAGCTGGGCCCTGTATAAAATCTGATTGGCTCTCCGGTCAGTTCAGTAGGATTTCTTTGGTAACTTGTATCTGCATGCAAATCCAATGCTGGGCTGTAAATCTAGCAGCGAAAGTCGCAAATGCTGAACGTCCGCATTTTCAATGGCACCACATTTCAAGTTGTCTGGTGAGATCTGGAAATATTCCTTTTTTTCTAGAAGAAATATTTCAATATTTTTTTTTTTTTTTGAGTAACACAAGAAAAGAGAAAATAATTCCAGGTGATTGAAAAGTAACTCCTTATTTTATGTCTGAGTAACCACCCAGGAGTTCTGGCTTAATAACACCCTGTGACTTTTTTTCTTTGGGGGTTGGTTAAAGGAACAAGTCTGCTATACCAAACAAAGACTTTGGAAAAACTTGAAGGGCGAATACAAGAAGTTATGTCTTCCATACCAAAATGGGGAAATCAGATAACACGATTCCTGGGCAGCTGGAGAAGTTGGTAGCGAAATCTGATCCCCATATCAAATTTTAAATAAAATTTTATGCTAAGCGCTTTCCTCTCGGATCCATTTCTCGTAAAAATTATAATTAATAAATAAATTATAAGTATTTTATTTTTATTTTAAAATGGGGAGTTACTTTTTAATCACTATGTAGATAAAGGATTTCAAACCAATTATCTGGATTTACAGAGGAGACTGATACAAATTTGTCTGATTTCTCGGGTTCATGACTTACAGTTTTACATGGGGCTTAAATTTTTAAAAAAATACCCATAAATATTAAATCATAAATGATCTACGAGCATAGGGATAGAGTTTATAAAATAGGCAAATATTTAACTTCTACCGCTGCTGTGCCTGATTGTTCTTGCTATCCTCTACCTTTTCAAGAGCTAGCTCAGTATTGATGCCATATATTGGCTGGAGCTGCACAGTCTTCACTTTCTTGTCTTGACAGAGTCCAAAAATGTTTCAGTATCTTCGTGGGTGATTAATTATCTTCCACCCTACAACCACTTTCCCACAAACGAAACGTTGCAAGCCTCTCACTGCTCTGTCGCTATTTCTGTAAATGAATGGTTGGACAAGATTTAGGAGAGATAATTAAAGACAAAATTTATTAAGACCTACGAGGAACAAGATATTCTAGAGAGCCATGACCGACAACGTCTTGAAAGGCCACGGCACATAGAAGAATAAATGGCAGCGTACACAGTGGAGTAATGAATAAATTTCTTAACCCAACTAATGGAGGGATTGAAAGTACATTTACTTCAAATAATGTTATGGCGAATAACAAACAAGGGAATGACGCTATGGAAACTTTTAGAAAAATATATAGTCCTTATTTTGAAGGCGTCCCAACTGTCTGGTAAGTAAGAAATTAGTTAACAAAGTTTAATTCTAGAGAAACGTCATTGGAAGATGAAAATCAAGACCGGAGCGTTCATCGGACATTGATGATGAAATTCTAAAGTCATTAGTCGAAAGCAATTCACGGCAAAATAGTCGGAAATCAGCAAAGACGTTAAACACAATCTTCCATATACAGATATTTTTTTTTAAAAGTCTATAAAGTCAGCAAAAGTTGTCTGTTTGTCTTACAAACCCTGTTAGCGAAAAGAACAAAAAGGGAAACTATTTATGATTCAATCCCGTATCCTCTGCCAGTAAAGTAAATGAAGAAACGTATCTACAAGAATGTCTTGAAAGATCAAGTCCGACTGAATAGTGAGTTCGATCCTCACTGGGTGTTCCCCACATTCGGCCTTGTGCCACATCTAAACTACGCTTACAAAATCATTTAGAACACTTCGGCGTGGTGTAATGATTAGAAAGCTTGTCTCGCTGGAGCAGTTCTGACTGAGTAGTGAGTTCGATCTTCTCTGGGTGCCCAATAGTTGTGGCCTTGTGCCACATCTAAAGTTCGCTTAGAGAATCACCCTATCTACACGAATGGTTCGTGTATTCGCCATCAGAATGAAAAGTCTACTGTTTTGTGCATAAATGCTTCTCGAGCCAAATTTCTTGCCTCTACTGGATTTGATAATTGGCAAAAATCCGTGAAAACTTAAAGAATGAAATCCATGTTAACTTAAGGAAAAAAAAATGTTGTCAAACACAGGTATGGAAGCTTAAAGAACAATTAAAAACAGAGCAAAATTACCGGAGAGATGTTCTGCGAATTGTTACGGTCATTTCTCTACTTACGAAATGAGTGGCTGCGACGTGTGGCATAATATGGATAAGCGAGCGGCGGGAGGGGGTGTTGCTTGGAATGAGAAATCGAAAAGCCAAGTTCAGTCAGGTTCGTTGCATTCGCGTGTTTATCAACCTTTAGGATATTTCGAATTTCGTATTTAGCCTAAGAGGCTAGATTGTAATTTCAATGCCAGAGTCAGTTAATACTGACTGGAAACAGGGCAAGCAATAATTACGCAGTACTAAAAAAACAAAAGGATGTGTGGGTGGGGTAATGGATTGAGAAATCGGAGAGCCAAGTTAGAATTCCAGATGAATTCTTCACATTCACTTAGGTAGAAATACCTTTGAGGAAGGTAAGCAATTATGGGTTGAATAGCCGTACAGTCTGAGTCCTGTAGCCTTGGTTGGCAACCAGTATACCACAGGAAAAAAACGACAATCTAATGCGAGAATGTCTTCTGCAGAGTCAGTCATGAATCGAAATAGACATGAACACCAAAGCGTGTATCATGTATGGCACTTAACGGACCAAGTGTCGAGGACCTAGTGTCGAGGACCAAGTGTCGAGGACCAAGTGTCGAGGACCTAGTGTCGATGACCAAGTGTCGAGGACCTAGTGTCGAGGACCAAGTGTCGAGGACCTAGTGTCGATGACCAAGTGTCGAGGACCAAGTGTCGAGGACCTAGTGTAGATGACCAAGTGTCGAGGACCTAGTGTCGAGGACCAAGTGTCGAGGACCAAGTGTCGAGGACCTAGTGTCGATGACCAAGTGTCGAGGACCAAGTGTCGAGGACCTAGTGTCGATGACCAATTGTCGAGGACCTAGTGTCGAGGACCAAGTGTCGAGGACCCAGTGTCGATGACCAAGTGTCGAGGATCTAGTGTCGAGGACCCTAGTGTCGAGGACCAAGTGTCGAGGACCTAGTGTCGATGACCAAGTGTCGAGGACCAAGTGTCGAGGACCTAGTGTCGATGACCAAGTGTCGAGGACCTAGTGTCGAGGACCAAGTGTCGAGGACCTAGTGTAGATGACCAAGTGTCGAGGATCTAGTGTCGAGGACCTAGTGTCGAGGACCAAGTGTCGAGGACCTAGTGTCGATGACCAAGTGTCGAGGACCAAGTGTCGAGGACCTAGTGTCGATGACCAAGTGTCGAGGACCTAGTGTCGAGGACCAAGTGTCGAGGACCAAGTGTCGAGGACCAGTGTGTCGATGACCAAGTGTCGAGGACCTAGTGTCGAGGACCAAGTGTCGAGGACCTAGTGTCGATGACCAAGTGTCGAGGACCAAGTGTCGAGGACCCAGTGTCGATGACCAAGTGTCGAGGACCAAGTGTCGAGGACCGTGTCGGGACCAAGTGTCGAGGACCTAGTGTCGAGAACCCAGTGTCGAGGACCAAGTGTCGGGGACCAAGTGTCGAGGACCTAGTGTCGATGACCAAGTGTCGAGGACCAAGTGTCGAGGACCTAGTGTCGATGACCAAGTGTCGAGGACCTATTGTCGAGGACCAAGTGTCGAGGATCTAGAGTCGAGGACCAAGTGTCGAGGACCAAGTGTCGAGGACCTAGTGTCGAGGACCTAGTGTCGAGGACCAAGTGTCGAGGACCAAGTATCGACGACCAAGTGTCGAGGACCAAGTGTCGATGACCTAGTGTCGAGGACCAAGTGTCGAGAACCTAGTGTCGAGGACCTAGTGTCGAGGACCAAGTGTCGAGGACCTAGTGTCGAGAACCTAGTGTCGAGGACCAAGTGTCAAGGACCTAGTGTCGAGGACCAAGTGTCGAGAACCTAGTGTCGAGGACCAAGTGTCGAGAACCGAGTGTCGAGGACCAAGTGTCGAGGACCAAGTGTCGAGGACCTAGTGTCGATGACCAAGTGTCCAGGACCAAGTGTCGATGACCAAGTGTCGAGGACCTAGTGTCGAGGACCAAGTGTCGAGGACCTAGTGTCGATGACCAAGTGTCGAGGACCTAGTGTCGATGACCAAGTGTCGAGGACCAAGTGTCGAGGACCTAGTGTCGATGACCAAGTCTCGAGGACCTAGTGTCGAGGACCTAGTGTCGAGGACCAAGTGTCGAGGACCTAGTGTCGATGACCCAGTGTCGTCAAGTGTCGAGGACCAAGTGTCGAGGACCTAGTGTCGATGACCAAGTGTCGAGGACCTAGTGTCGAGGACCAAGTGTCGAGGACCAAGTGTCGAGGACCTAGTGTCGATGACCAAGTGTCGAGGACCTAGTGTCGAGGACCAAGTGTCGAGGACCTAGTGTCGATGACCAAGTGTCGAGGACCAAGTGTCGAGGACCTAGTGTCGATGACCAAGTGTCGAGGACCTAGTGTCGAGGACCAAGTGTCGAGGACCAAGTGTCGAGGACCTAGTGTCGAGAACCTAGTGTCGAGGACCAAGTGTCGGGGACCAAGTGTCGAGGACCTAGTGTCGATGACCAAGTGTCGAGGACCAAGTGTCGAGGACCTAGTGTCGATGACCAAGTCTCGAGGACCTAGTGTCGAGGACCTAGTGTCGAGGGCCAAGTGTCGAGGATCTAGAGTCGAGGACCAAGTGTCGAGGACCAAGTGTCGAGGACCTAGTGTCGATGACCAAGTGTCGAGGAGTGTCGAGGACCTAGTGTCGAGGAGTATCGACGACCAAGTGTCGAGGACCAAGTGTCGACGACCAAGTGTCGAGGACAAGTGTCGAGAAAGTGTCGATGACCCAGTGTCGAGGACCAAGTGTCGAGGACCTAGTGTCGAGGACCTAGTGTCGAGGACCAAGTGTCGAGGACCTAGTGTCGAGAACCCAGTGTCGAGGACCAAGTGTCGAGGACCAAGTGTCGAGGACCAAGTGTCGAGAACCTAGTGTCGAGGAGTCGAGGACCAGTGTCGAGGACCAAGTGTCGAGAACCAAGTGTCGAGGACCTAGTGTCGATGACCAAGTGTCGAGGACCTAGTGTCGAGGACCAAGTGTCGAGGACCAAGTGTCGAGGACCTAGTGTCGAGGACCTAGTGTCGAGGACCAAGTGTCGAGGACCAAGTGTCGAGGACCTAGTGTCGATGACCAAGTGTCGAGGACCAAGTGTCGAGGACCAAGTGTCGATGACCAAGTGTCGAGGACCAAGTGTCGAGGACCTAGTGTCGAGGACCAAGTGTCGAGGACCAAGTGTCGATGACCAAGTGTCGAGGACCAAGTGTCGAGGACCTAGTGTCGATGACCAAGTCTCGAGGACCCAGTGTCGAGGACCTAGTGTCGAGGACCAAGTGTGTCGAGGACCTAGTGTCGAGGACCAAGTGTCGAGGACCAAGTGTCGAGGACCTAGTGTCGAGGACCTAGTGTCGAGGACCAAGTATCGACGACCAAGTGTCGAGGACCAAGTGTCGATGACCTAGTGTCGAGGACCAAGTGTCGAGAACCTAGTGTCGAGGACCTAGTGCCGAGGACCAAGTGTCGAGGACCTAGTGTCGAGGACCTAGTGTTGAGGACCAAGTGTCAAGGACCTAGTGTCGAGGACCAAGTGTCGAGAACCTAGTGTCGAGGACCAAGTGTCGAGAACCTAGTGTCGAGGACCAAGTGTCGGGGACCAAGTGTCGAGGACCAAGTGTCAAGGACCTAGTGTCGAGGACCAAGTGTCGAGGACCTAGTGTCGAGGACCAAGTGTCGAGGACCAAGTGTCGATAGGTGCTGTTACAATTCCTATCGACTTCGATAATCCGGAGAGCTGAGTTCAAGATGCATTAAGAATTAAAACGATATTCATCTATCCATCATCATCGTCATCATTGTTATCAGTCTAAAAACTGGGTGTGGTCGTACGGTTGCTACCCAGTTCCCTCTACATATTTGAACTGAAAGCCAGTGAAGTTTTCAGTCATACATAGTGTATCATGAACAAATAGATCTGACGAAACCTATCCCTCTTCAGATTAAACCATGGCTGATATATACCAATTTGAAGGCTCACCTTGGCCACCGACGAGTAGCCGTAGATTTAATCGGGGGAACTCTCCACCCCAACCATTGATTTCAATATAGGAAGCCCTCCGCCCAGTGATACCGTGTAATCACTGCACTGGCTACATCCATAGCTATAGAGCCCAGTCAACCCCCTTTTGTGCTGATGATCCTACAAGGAGGTTCATCCTCCGTTTGCTTTTTAGTCCGACTGGAAGTTTGATTGCCCTCCTTACTACGAAAGCCTAGTATGGAAAACTGTTTAGTCATCGATGACCCGACCATGCGGCCGGTAACACTGGATTATATGTTACTAGTAACACCCGTAGAATGACTTGACACAATAAATATAAATGTCTTGACTCCATGAATTGTCTTCAAAATCAAAATTTGGGATAAAAGCAAATTTGGTGATGGGAAAGAATGACGGCTTCTTTCAGTAATTTAAAAAATTATCTCCGTCAGTAAAATCTCAATTTAGTTGAGTGCCGGGCAAATTTAAAGGAAAAGAAGAAATGAAAACTGGCTTGTACCAGCCTAAAAAGTGAGTGGAGATCTTTTTCTAGTTTGAAGATTAGCATTGGAATTTTTTTTTTTTTTTCTTACTTTTATTCAAATGTCGACTACTCGACTAGAGAAAACAAATAATTGCTTTAGTAACTAAGCAGGCCGCCGAAGATAGGAAATAGTCAACTTCCTCAGCCACCAAGCGACCTTATCACGATAGAGAGAGGGGTAAACTGAAATAGTGAAAGAATAGAAGTATAGATAGATAGATAGATAGATAGATAGATAGATAGATAGATAGATAGATAGGCAGACAAACAGACAGATAGTCTATGATTCTGCATATGGAACAACACATATGCACTCACAAATATATGCTTGATTGTCTCCCCTTTGTTTTCCGTCATCCGGCGGATGTGTGTGTATGTGTGTGTATGTGTGTGTGTAACTTTTAAGCCCTTTTTTTTCTTTATAAAAGGTCGAATGCTGTCAAAAGAAGGCACAGAAGAAAAAAACAAAAAAAACTTTTGAATGTGCAAACCGGAAATACGCACAATGCCTTGTAAAAAAACAATCGAAACATGGCCAACTTCTTTTGAAGAAGCTAGAGAAGAAAGAGTTGAAAGCGACATCTAATTCTTATTCGGCTCTTGATTCCGGGTGGCTTTACAGGTGGGGGTTCTTATGGGTGATGTCGGTCGGGGGCGAAATGATGACGGCGGAAGGATTTGTTGGCTGTGGGTGTTGTTTGTTCCTTGTTAGACTTTTCACATGGGATAAAGATACGGAGATTCACTCTCGCGATATTTGAGCGAGACTAGAAGATTGACAGAAAAATGAAAGGAGGAAAGGAAGTTTGGTAGGAAGGGAAATGGTGTCCCCCTCCCTCAGCGGAGGAAGGTCATCAAGATGCAACCAAAAATATAAGCCTGTACGATTGTATATTCGATAAATTATAATTTTCTAAAGAGAAATAATTTCTAAAGGACGAGATAAAACAAGCGAGTAAAACAAAGTATAAAGAAAAACAAGAGGAAAGTGGGAAAAGAAAATCAGGAAAGGTGGAGAGGGGAGAGGATGATTCGGAAACAGTGTGCGTTGGCGTGAGAGAGAGGCAATGGTTGTAACAGTAGAGGTATATCAAAAAAAGAAGGTTTGACATATGAGGCAATGGTGGGACAGCCAGATACTCTAGAGTTGGACCCACCCCATCTCCAAGATTACGGAGGAAGAAACTCTTGCAAACGGTGACATTTCCGATTTAAAAAAAAAAAGCAGGTGTTCGTTCATTATCAAAATAGATATGAAGAAACTGAGATAGATAGATAGATGATAGATAGATAGATAGATAGATAGATAGATAGATAATGAGTAGACTTAGATATGAACAGAATGAGATAGAGAAAGGTATAGAGATAGATATGAACAGAATAAGATAGATAGATAGATAGATAGATAGATAGATAGATAATGAGTAGACTTAGATATGAACAGAATGAGATAGAGAGAGGTAAAGAGATAGATATGAACAGAAAGAGATAGATAGATAGATAGATAGATAGATAGATAGATAGATATGAACAATGGGATTTTTAAAGTGCTAAATATCAAGTCTCGGTTTTTTACGAAAAAGCACAATAACAATTTGTACAGTCCGAAAAAATAAAATCCAGTATAAACTATGACTTATTTTCAAAATCTCAGAAACAAATTGAGGTTTAATATACAATATTGCCTATCTGGTATATTTAATAACAAATGTGAAATAAACATGAACACAGAGTAATAGAAACTATATGAAATCGGCTGCACTCGAAATAAATAATTTTAAATTTCAGCGTCCCCCTCCTCTTCATGCTTTTGTATATTTACACCAATGTAAACATAACTTTAGTCCGCTAAATTCCTAAAGGAAGAAAGGTATCAAACGAAGAAATTTTCCACTTTGTCATTGATTTTCCCAAATATATATATATATATATATATATATATATATATATATATATATATATATATACAGTGTGTAGCAAAAGTATTTAACACTTCGGTTTTTATAAATTTCACTATAAAAAATGGTTCAATTTGAATGATACTTCAAATATTCTAATGAACATTGTCAAACTAAACATAAAGGAAAATCGAGAAATATTGTTTTTATGTACTTTTATTGCCAATTTTAGAATTTGACTGCAAAAAATATTTAATATGATTTGTTAATATTTAGTTCTGACTTTACAGCCTCGAGTCGTTTTCTGTAGTTTTCAATGACCTTCTTACATGAAAATTTTGGTAATTTCACCAATTCTTCTTCACAGTCCCTTGATATTTTTGGGATCTCTTGTGTGTATTCTTTAACTTTTTCCATAAATTTTCGATTGGATTGAAATCCGGTGACTGGCTAGGCCATCCCAGAACATCAATTCCATTTTCATTGAACCAGTGTTGAGTTGTTTTAGCCATGTTCTTTGGATCATTGTCATGTTGGAATACAAAATCATGGACAAGCTGTTGCCCTTTTTAATAAATGGGTTGATAAGATTTGCTTGTATTTCACTGCCTTCATTCTTTTTTCGAAAGACTTCCATTTCTCCTACTCCGTTATACGAAAAACAATCCCAAATCATTACACTTCAGCCCCTAATGGTTCTATTCAGTCCCCCCCACCATACTTGGGTGCACATGTTTCTCTCCAATTTTCGTTTTATCTGACCAAATAACTTTTTATGATTCAAGTTCATAATTTTTAACAAATTTCAAACGTTTTAATAGTGGAGTCTTTCTTGGTTATCTAGAATACAGGCCTGTACGATTTAGTGTTCTCTTAATTGTATGTTAACTTTCGATACATGACTGACGAGGTAGGTTGTCATTTCTTTCTGCCATCCGAGGCTATAGAACCCGGTCTGTCCTGCTATTTACCCATGGGGGGGGAGAAGAGGAGGATTCATACCTTTCCCATTCGTAAGTGAATGTAATGGATTCGACTATACATTACTCTACCGTGCCTCTATATCGTTCAGTCGCCTCGTTTAATTTTAATATGAATTTTCATTTGTCTGTCTATATTTCTGAGATGAGGTATTATGTACAGTATTTACATTAGTCGGACTATTGTCCTCATCTTTGTCGCCATATTGTCACAACGTTTCGGCCGTTGTACGCTCCGGCCTTCTTCAGGTGGTTGGAATTTCGAACTGAACCCTTTATTTCGATCACTGGGGTAAACTGTTCTAGTTCCACGCGCCATGTTTGATGGATGCCAGTTATCAGTTATCTCCTGCTAATTTTCCCTCTGAAAGTTCTCCACTGCCTTAACCAGGAATTGAACTCACTGTCACTGGATCTAACCAACGCCTTTATCCACTGTGCCATGTGTCCTTGAAGACATCTGGGTATGAACTTCTGAGTATTATAAATGTTTTCAGCATCATTTTTACCAGTGCTCATATTGCAATTTTTGCTGTTATCATTGCATGTCTTTACCAGAGTTCATATTGCAACTTTGTTATCATTGTTTTCTCTGGCACTGCTTATTACTGGTTCCCATATTGTATTTATTTCTATGCTTGGTCGGCTCAGGAGATTTTGTGGCCTAGCATATGTGCTGATTCCTTAAGTTTACGAATTTTCCAATGGTGTTCCCTGTCTATGATCTCGACATGATCCCACAGGGGGGCGGTGATCTCCCTTCTCTTTCCATATGTGGTCAGCCACGCCTGATTTTTACTTCCCCTCGCGTTACAGCTTTCTGGTGTTCTTGAAGCCTTACCTTGAGGGGGCGGCCTGTCTCTCCTTTATATTCCTTTCCGCAGCTGCACGGGATAGCGTACACAGTCTTTAGTCATGTTCCTCTCTATGGGGGTCTCACTCGTGAGAGATACCTGCGAAGTGTTGTCACGCTTTTGAAGGTTGTCCTGATGTTATATGGACCGCAGATCCTTTGTATTTTCTCTGATAACCCCTTCACATAAGGTAGGCAGACTGTTTTCTGAGTGTTGTTGTCCTCCTCCTCCTCCTCCTCTTGTACCCGCCTATCCCAGTTTTGGGGGGCTGCTGCCATGTACCCAGGGTAGTTGTTACGTTGTAGGGTACTACTTATACTGACCAATTCCTTATCTAACGTCTCTGGATCGCCACTTATGAATATCATTTGAATATTTTTTCTATTTTCGAATTACACACAAGAAAATTTAAAACTTCAGCAATTTTTCGATACCCGCTTACCATCTTTATGCAGCTTTATAATCTTCTGTTGAGTATCATTTGACAATTCTTTTGTTTTAACCATTTTTATAACATCAGATAGCGTGACAGTCTCTAATGTATCAGACCTTTTATCACTATTTGCCGATTGAGTGGCGTGATTAGTTAATACATATATTGAAGACAACCTGTGATTGGTTGAAGTACAAACCCTACCAAAATAACTGAAAATAGTTTAAAAATACACTTTTTACCATATTATTTGTCTAGGTGTTAAATACTTTTGCACGCAGTCAAATTGGAAAATTGGAAATAAAAGTACATAAAAATGTTTCTCAATTATCCTTTACGTTTAATTAGACAATGTTCATTAAAATATTTGAAGTAAGTATCATTCAAATGGAATAATTTTTTATTGTGAAAAAAAAAAAAAAAAACGATGCTCCTATATATATATATATATAAATATATTATATATATATATATATATATATATATATATGAAAAATTTCTCAGTGTTAATCTGTAGAGAAAGACAAAATATATAAAGGTAAAAGACAAGAGGAAAACTGTATTATTAGCCGACGCGATTCGTCCAATATGGACTTTTTCAAAGCAAAAACGAAATGAATTTATTGAAAACAAAGTAACAATTAACAAGAAAACTAAATGTCCTTAGCAACTAGAAGAATTTAGAAAATGCTATACACACACACACTCACACACACACACATATATATATATATATATATATATATAAGATAACGCACATTGAGTACTGGTATTAATAAAACAGTACCAGGTGTAATATAACAGATCTATTAAGTATATATCAATAAATATGTTTAATAAATATGCATATATTATCTTTATATATATATAAATATATATATATATATATATATATATATATATATGCGCGCAAATGCGAATCGACGCAGGCAAAATGCTATCGTTTGATGAATTAAAAGTCGATGTAAAGAATAAAATTTAGCTAAAATTGGTATTTGCCGATGGATAGTGGAAATAAAACATGTTACACAGCCTGCAAGGATAAAAAGAAAATGGAATTGGAGAAATAAAATTCCTGGCGTTGTAGTATCTTATTTTATTTACTGCGTTCTTTGCGATCTGGTTGGAGGATAAAAAGATCGACAACGTAAAAATTCATTCAATATTAATAAAAAAAATATGAAAGAAAAAAAAAAACTTTATTTGTCGGCGCAACTTTTCAAGGCAAATGTGAAATCTTATTTTATTTTATCGCTTGCGTTCAAATTTGAATTAGATCGTATAGAGATTGTTCTTTAAAAAAATATTGTATTTGGCTTTGATAAATCTTTCATAAATGCTTTTCTTCTTGTCATTTCTTATAGTAATACATACATTTCATTTTATTATAAAACCCAGTGTCTGTACGTTTATATATTGATCGGATTTCCTACATTTTTCAAAATTTCAAAACTTCACAGGACTACGGTGGTTCTGACAGCGCCAAAAATTGAAAAAAAATTGTTTTTGAAACAAAATCAATTTGAAAAAAAAGAGGCATCGCGAGAATGAAAGGGGGACAACTCATATCGAGTTATACTTATAATAAACCCCAAGTTGTTTGTGTGTGTGTTCGTTTATATATGGGATCAGATTTCCTACATTTTTCAACCGATTTCAACAAAACTTCACTTTTTTTTGGCAGGTAGTGTTTCTTATTGTCTTGCACACTTTTTTTATTTTTACATTCAGAATGCTTTAAAACTTCCATTTAAAAGACAATTGTTTATAATAAAATTCTATTCAATCGGTAAACTCATAACGATTGAAAACAATGTTTTTGTCTGAGTTTGGGTTTGACCAATTCGTAAAAAAACAAAACAAAAAAAAAAAACTTATTAAGACATGCGTGTCCGTCAACCTTAAACAATAATCTTTGCCAATTTTATTTTTCAGTCTTTATGATGGTCGATACTTGATCTATCTCTTACATCTCCGGGCAACGCCGGGATCTACTCCTAGTTATATATATATAGAGAGAGAGAAATAATTAGGAGAATTTGAAATAATCATAATTAAGTAATTCATCGAGCCTAAAAGAAACCTCAACAGAAAGCACTGGAGGGCCGTTTTGGCCTATAGTTGGGACTCAGCAGCAGTGCGCATCCACTACCGAGAATTGAAACCCGAACAGTTACGATAGGAGGCAAACACCATACCAACTGTACAAACGGCTCTCGGTGACGACGAGGTAACGAATTAGACTTGATATAGCGCCGCTCGATCACAAATTCCGTGGTGGAACTTCTTCGAGTTTCTCTTTTACCCATACTGTGCCTCCTATATATATATATATATATATATATATATATATATATATATATATATATATATATATATATATATATATATATATATATATATATATGCCTGATTGCGCCTATCATGAAACAGACTGTCGCCTCTAAGTGTTGACTTCAATGTCCACTTTTATATTTACATACGCTCTATCTCTTATATTGAGCACTTTATCCCATAAATATAGCACACCTTAAAAAATTTCTTCATATATATATATATATATATATATATATATATATATATATATATATATATATATATGCAAACACACACACACACATATCTATATATATATATAAATTTATTTTGGGGCAGTAGCCTTTCTCTTAAACATCTTTTTTCATTAAATATGACAGACAATATATATATTTCCGCTACAAGTCAAAAGTTTAAGGCAACCCATCTTATTTTTTAAATTAGCCTAAAAATTGGTTGTTTTTTACTTTAAATAAGAGAAAATTATTGTACATGATTTAAAAAAGTAAGACATGATTTTTTATTAGAAATTTTATTATGACAAAAAGAAAAAAAAAAGCATTTTATGATTTAATTTTGCTCTCGTCAAACTATCCTCCTTTAGCCTTGATTACTGCAACACAAATCTTTGGCATAATTGATTACATTATTTTTTCAATGACTCGAAGGCTCTTTTTCATTTTTCCCTCTTCTGACAAGTTCATCCCATGCTAATTCTGGGGGTATCTTCAAACTTTTGAACTGTAGTGTATATATCAGTAATCTGTAAAATCAACAGATAACGAAGAAAAAATATACATAAGAATAACTGAAGTGCTCTGGAAACAAATAAATTACGCACACAAAATATCCTTTACAAATAGTAATTACACGAATAGTACAATTCTTTCTAAATATAACTGGGAAATTAAAAACGAAAAACAAATTACACCAAACTGTCACGGAAAATAAAGAAAACTGTATCAGCCTACAACAATAAATCCAAAAACTGTAAATTCTGTCTGGACGAGAAGATAGCTAGAATTATCTTCCCAGACCAACATAAATTATTAAATAAACGAGTGGAGACTCGGTAGGAGATCTATCTATCTATCTACGATCAGCACTTATCTCAAAATGCAGACACGAAAACAAATTTTTACTACATTACTTAAAAATCGAAAACTAAAACCGAATATTTGCAAAATAACATGATGAAAATACAAATATATGCACAATATATTGGGTTGGTGCACAATTATCAGACGTTTTTGTTGGCGAGTTATTTGTTAATATAAATGGCTGTTTTGCTTACCTTTTTTTTAATAAAAATATTATTTTATTTTCAGGTTATAAAAATGCGTGTCAATAATCATACGCTCCTGAATAATCATTAAAAAAAATGTTTTTGTTCAATTTTTATGTTTCTTTTGTCATTATAAATGTTATTTAAAAAACGCTTGATAATTATGCACCAACCCAATACAATGTAGATAATTTCACAGACTTTAGACAAAGCTAACAATTTAAACTAAACAAATAAAAAAGTAACCCCTGAAAAAAATTTAAGTATATAAATAAAAATATTAAGTAAATAATAAACAAATGCCCACAAAAACAAAGGTGTGATAATAATAATAATAATAATAATAATGAAAAACATATAATAAATAAATAATGAGTAAAAAGTTAGCAAACGAAATTATTCCTACTCACGAATAATCTGAAACAATCATTACCTCCTACCCAATGACCGTCAAGATAATACAATAGACCTTATTACCCACAATGCACCATTGAAGAGAATATATAAAAAGTCGAACCAAAACATAACACAAGATATATGTCTATTGGGAGAGTTGTCAACACCTCAATAAACAGCCATCTTCGTATTAAAAATGCTTTTCTGTGATATTATAAACTAAAAGTAAGTAATATTTGACTTTCAATTCCCTAATCATTCTCAAGTTTCAGAAAAGTATGTTTATTTTCTAAAGTTCTTTTTTAATAAAATAATTATGTCTTGCTGACAAATTTGTCAATAGGGACGATTTTAGTGTCTTAGAAGATCTTTCAGATTTCGGTGAACCATAATTATTTTTCCATTATCAGCTGTTGGATTGATAGGTAGAGTATTTAGATTTCGCTTTTCTTTTGATGGGGACGTATTTAGTGAATATATATATATATATATATATATATATATATATATATATATATATTACGCCAGTTGGATGTTTTCCATAAAAGCTATCTGCGTGCCATCTGTGGCAGCACCTAATGGGTTTATCATGCTGACGCCATGAGTTTGGGTGTAGGTGTTCGTTTTGATAAAAAATAAAGAAGAAATTATAAATATAAAATCAACTTTTGAAAAACTCAACGCTAAAATTTACATTTAACTCATGGTTAATAAAATCCCATTCCTTGATGTTGTTATAGAACTAAAATCCAAAGTATTTAGCACTTAACCGTATAAAAAAAAATTTACCATGACGAACTCTTGTCTTCTAAACTATGAAAACCAATGACCGGAAAGACATAAAATAGCAGTGATAACAAACTTCTTATATAGAGCACACCTAAATCCTTCTTCCAAAAGAATATTTCTGTGTGAACTAAAACACATAAAACAAATATTAGTCAACAATAATTTCCCCAACTATATTATTGATAAACAAATAAAATTATTCTTACAAAAATACATGACACCAGTAATAAAAATACCACACAACAAAACATCAACAGATTTTACTGCAACCAGATACACAATAACTATAAATAGGACGAATTCGCTATACAAAAAATCATTAAACATCATATTTCTGTCGTAATTCCCGTAAGAACATGTAAGTTTTATAATATATTAGCGAAAATGGAAGACTGCAAATCTTGTCACTAATTAAAATAATCCCACCAAATCTAAACTAACGATTACCAATGTAGTATATTTCAATTCTCAGTAGATGACTTTGTTTCGTGCAACGAACTAAATACCTATATCGGACACACTACCACCTACTTGAGTAGACATCTCATGTGTCATCAGAAACATCTATGAACCCATTGTAGAGGACCGTGGCTGTGATGTTGTTGAGTAGACGTAGAAGAAACACATGTGGGTTCAGATTCTCCTGCTCGCCGGCCCAACTACATAAAAAGGTTGGACTTTTAATTAAGTCCAAAGAAGAAGGCAAAGAAAACAAACAAACACAAGACCGATAATATATGTATACAAATATATATTAAGTTACACGAAACAGTTACAAAGGACAAAGTGTGTGTGTGTGAATACTCTGTATGTGCGTGTGTGTGTATTGTGCTTAGCGTGTTCCCAGCATTTTTGGGAAACGCTTTCTCTCTGTGAGCGTTCATATCTTCGAGGTGTTAAGGCTGGAAGCCTGAGGAAAAAGAGAGATTTACCTCCAGGAGTCGGCGCAAACATATATCAAACATTTCTCTCCTACTAGCAATCTCAGATTATTTAACAATGGAAATGGAGTGTTAAAAGTTATTTCTAATAGAAAGATGCTCAGGCGAATTCCAACCGAGCGAAACATGTGAAGGCTCAGAATGAACGCTCCTATTCAAAACAACACAAAAATAAATTACAACGTAACAGTCAAAATATGAGGAAAAATCAAGAACACCAAACTCCTCTCCCTTGAAAATGGCTAAAGAAGCGGCCGAAAGCGCTCGGGACAATAAACATTATGGGATATTTTTGTAATCCCTTACTCCTACAAAGCGGAAAAACGTAAGGAGGCGGGAAAAACTTAATAAAAATTTAATTAAATCATCCTTATCGGTTGTATTTAGTGAAAGATGTTTGAAAGAAAGCTTGCTGCCAAAATATACTTACATACATACATATATATATATATATATATATATATATATATATATATATATATATATATATATATAGTATAATGAGAAGCCACATATACTTTCTTAATATGTATATATAGAAAAAACAACTAAAAAGTAGCAAATTAAAAA